TAGGACAAATTAAAAGAAATTTAAAATTCAGAATGAATGAACATAAAAGAAATGTTAAAAATAATAACATTACTATTTCACTTTTAGCAGAGCATGTTAGTGAAACTAATCACACAATTAAATTGGAAAATTTTTTTATTTTAGCACAACCTGGAAATTTAATTGGTATGAATATACCTGAATCTATTGAGATAAGTATATGTAAAAAAAAGATGATGGACCTGATGGAAATGTTGCCAGTAGATGGTGTGAAATTCTTTAATATGTAAATTGGTGATTTGATAATTGTATAAATAAGTGTTATTTTTGCAAAACATTACACTACTGAGCATGACACAGTAGTATATGTCGAAACATGTAGAGTGTATGAGATTGTTTTCCAATCTTATCAGGTGTTTCGCCACTTTTTATCCTTTTCAGTAAGTTACTGTAATTTTGAGACTGGAAACAATCTCATTTTTAGAATTGTGTATAAAATAATCATTGTTTTTTAAAAGTTGTGAGTTGTTTTAAGGTATGTTTTATTTAATTGCAAAACAATCATTTTTTACACATACTCTTCACTAATACAAACTGTATGACAGTTACAGTAAAAATTAATTTTTATATGTGCTTAAAACTCTTTTTTAATTATCATTTTAGTTTTGATACCATCATTGCCCAGACATCATGTTATATTTCATATACCATAGCTCTATCTTATGCTACATCCAAAACAGAATTTTTCTTAAAAATCATATACAGTAAGTTCAGTCTATAGAAAGCAATCCAATTTCAGACTTTTTATTAAACATTCTAATTGCCTTTGCTTTGAAATATTCAGTAACTTCTATGATATAAATTTTCTCATTCCTGTAATCATTCACAAATCATCTTGCTTCATAACAGTTTAATCTGTTTATCCAGTAGAGCAATTTCTAAAAAACTGTTTTACTTAATGCAGCATGACAAGTATTTCTAAAATATTAAATGAGTTACTAAGCCATTGAATGTTAATAAATTGTGAAAATGACCAGAAACCTTCAATACGAGTTGTGTTTGTTCCTTCCTCATAAACCTCTTCTTCAATCCAATCTCGAGGAGAGTACCACCTGACAAAATCTTCAAGACAAGCTCCAGGATTAGCTGCCTATATACATAGCAATACCAATAAAAACACACATTAAATCCATGGATTTGATACAGAGGACTACATTACTATAACCTTTCAATCTGTTTTTATTGTTCTTACAATTTTCAGTGGCACTGGCAACAAGGACACTTTTTGGTAAGATAGTTCATACCAGCAACCAATAATAATCCATTTAAGATAGTTCCTACCAATAACAACTACACTTCCTTTAAGGTAATTCCTACCAATAACACCTACACTTCCTTTAAGATAGTTCCTACCATTAACAACTACACTTTCTTTAAGGTAATTCCTACCAATAACACCTACACTTCCTTTAAGATAGTTCCTACCATTAACAACTACACTTCCTTTAAGGTATTTCCTACCAATAACACCTACACTTCTTTTAAGATACTTCCTACCAATAATAACTACACTTCCTTTAAAGTAGTTTCTGCCATCAATAATAATAATAATTCCTTTAAGGTAGTCCATACCAACAACAAGTACACTAATATTTTCAGCTGTAATCCCAAAAATATCTTGCGCGATTTAGCCAGTTTAGGAAATTTTGATTAGTCTTAAATTCATATACTTAGCTAGCAATATAAAAATAATCAGAATAACAATTTATAATTAAATATGTAATAAAAATTTTTTATACACACAAGGTGTCTGAAAATTAGGCAACTTTTTGAAAACTCAATTTGCGAAAAGACAGTAACAGATACACATTATTTGCCATTGGTGCACCTCTACACATACTCTGTTTATGGCTCTCAAGATAAGAAGTCAATATTTGATTTCTGCCTATGTACTGGCCAGCATACTGGATGTCACAGTAGCTATTGCTTCAGTGATCCATTCACAGATAAGTTATATGATGTCCTTCACATAACTTCAGAGGAAAAAGTCCAGAGGTGGTGTCTGGTGATTGTGCCAGACAATGGATTAACCCATCACAGCTCTTTCCTTGTGTAAAATGCTTTCTAAATCTTGAAATTGATGGTACCACTTCCTGATAAACATTCTTAATTGGTGGACCTTTTCCATATATTCTACGATATTGTCTTTGTACTAGAATAGGAAATTTTATCTCTGCTAGTGACAGGATACACATAACTTTCTCCTGGGTTGCCATGATATTTGTTAATAGCATGTTTGGTGACCATTCATGTATTATACATGATTACACTTATCATACCAAAAAACAGCACACATGTTCCCTTCATCCACCATCAATCATAAATTTGTAACTGTTACTATCTTGTCACAATTGTGAATATAAATGACCCAAAGTTTTTAGTTTTGTTATTAGTTTTGATCTGAATTATAATCTGAAAAATTATGTGATTATACTGAATAGAGTTGAGGCTTGAATTATATCAGTCAGTCAAGTAGAGATATGAAGTTTAAAATTAATGAATGCAAAAATGCTGTCAAAAAATTAAAAACTAGTGGCGAACGCTTTGCATAACATTGAATGGGATATGGTTCAAATACTTTAAAGAAGCTAAAAAATGAATTAAACATATAAGAATCTCTAAAAACTATTAAACATAAAATGATTTTGAAAAGAGATCTAGGCTCAGGTGCCACAGAAATAAATTTTTGGAAATCTATTCTGTAGAGGGCACTGTACAAATGAAAATGCATGTATGCTTGCTTGTATAATAATGAAACTCCCTCTGTTTGTTTTGAAAATGGTGGAATTTTTTTCATTGAAACATGTAGAGTTTTTAATTGTATATTTTCCTTTTAACTTTATACAATAAATTGTTGTGCATTTTTAAATGTTAAAGTTCTTATATATTTTATGAAATCTGTGCACAAGAACAGTCATAGACTATATTGTTACAACACCGGAGGTCATGTAACGCTAGTAACACGTCATGCGCTTCTAGAACTTTCATGTCCCTTCCTGAAGTCTCGAGAGGTTACTAGATGTACGGTATTCTTGCATATAAGACCGCCAAGAACTGACGGCAACAATGTAATTGAACTGCAGACAGAGATAGAGATGTACTGTTGGGTCGAGCGCGTGTGTCGTTCGTTGTGAATTCTAGCATTTGATTAAGCTATAGCGTGATCGTGGAAATTAAGTGAATTTCAAAGTTGTATTCAGAAAGAATAAACCAGTTTTATTTAAGAAAGGACTTGTATCGCTAAAGTTTCTTTGTAGAGAATTTTTACGGAAAATTAACTAACGACCAGAGACGTAACAATATTGTAATAACTTTATTTACGTGACGTTTACAGTTTTATGGCAGGTTTGGAAATAAATAACTTTCCAGCAATCCTAAGGTAAAGGTTTATATTTGTTAAGAACTACCGTTCTTTAAAAATATAATTATCTATGTCTTGTTTCTCAGATGATCTTCCTTCTCTTTCACCAGTTTTATCACTAATTTTCTACACTTCCCACCTTTTTATGATGTTAGAACAATTGGTCTAAACACTTACTAATGAAGAACAGCTTTAAAAATAGTTACAGGCAACATTTAACTATGGTTAGATAGAGCATATTATAAACTATTTACATAAATATAGGGTTTGAGAAGGAATTTATGGAAAACATAGAGACAAACCACAGAACTGGCTTTCTTTAGGCATTCTTTTAAGCTTATACAACACCAAAACAAGCTCTCACATGGGTAGTTATCTAAAAATAGATTCTGTTTAATTTTTTCTAGTCAGACAAGTAACTTGTTTGAATGGACATACTAAAAAGATGTCGGATACTGTCAAAAGTCTGTCATGGCATGCTTCTTAATACTTGAAAATAAGACCATATAAACTGTTTAGAATGTTTGAATTGTATAATGGATAGCTTTTGTGATTTCAAGATAAGTGAGTGCTGAGACATACATGAAAAATGTCATAATGTCCTGAACAGCTTAGTTCACAAATGTGAAAATATTCATGCAGCATAGATGAGCTTTCTACAATTAAACCACAACCTAAAAATAACATTGTCAATTATAATAGAACTATAGTTTACTAACATGAAGAATACAAAAATAGCCATATTTTCTATAGTTTCTTAAGATTAATCTTACAAAGTTAAAGTTAAATGTGAAACCTAAGTATTAGAACAACAAACAGTTCAATTCCAAACAAACTTTATTTTATTTTACTCATATAAACAGACTTTCAAATGCCTCCCTAATGTGAAATGAGTCATATTTTAAAATCACCAACCTTAAAAGCTTCCATGTCTGATGTCAGGCATGCACTCTGCATCCTAGCTCTTAAAGCAGCACCCTCTGGATTGGTGCCAAGCTGGACAAGAACTTCAGCATGTTCTTCAAGAATATCTTCTGTCATTGGGGCAGGTTCCTTTTGTTTTCATGTTACAGGAAATTTAATTTTCAATTTTTGAAGTAATGAAATATTAAAACAATAGCCATTCGTGACAGTTACTAATAAAGTGTGATAGATCTACACTTCATAGGTTCTCAATATCCATATATCAAGGCACAATGATTTGCGTACATAAAAACTAATGAAGAAACTGATTATGTGTAACATAAAGTTACATATCTATATAGAACTATGTTATATTGGCATAACACTGTCAGCACATAAAATATTTTTCATCTTGATTATGCAATGAGACTCTTCTTTGTGAATCAGTGAATGAATAGATTATTTTGAAGTGCAATAGAGTAACATAAAAAATAAGTAGTGAACCAAGAGTATTCAATTTTGATCATTTAACAAGCTTAATATAGAAAACAATACACACTTGTCTTTGTTACCCTGATGATAGGATTCAAAAATACAGTTGACAACTGATGAAAAAACAAACAAAAGTCCTTCACCTTTACAGGGGAATGATAAATTTTTACCTCTTTTCAAATATTATGAAATATGATTTCTAAAAATGGTTAGATCTAACTGAATTTCCAATCAAATGCATTCTTCAGTTTCTGTCAAAACATGAACAAATCATTCTCCAGGTGTGACTTGGAAAATATTAAAATAACCTGATTGAAGATTAGCTTTAGGAATTTTATTGGTCTAAAAGTGATTTTATCATCAAAATCTCACTACAAAAATGAAGTATCTGTGGAATACAAATATTCAGTATATACATATACAGACTTGAAGACCATTGCAGAAGTTAGCCTGGAACACATTCCAGTCATGACCTCAGAGGTGCAAGAATTCAAAGCTACCAATTCTTGCACCAGACAGACGTGGTATGTTATGAAAATCCCAATAGTTAGATAAAACACATGACCAAATGAACCAATGCCAAAAAAAAAAAAGTTAACAGGACAACAATGAAAAACAAGGGTGAAATACTCTTAGTGAAGAGACTGGAGTTATAGGGTTTGTCTCTATATACGCCCTAACTTAATTGTCTTGGATGATTTTGCCAAAAATATTAGATAAGGAAAATAAGTTCTGTAAGGACCAATAATTAAGTGGATTTTGGTTAAAGTCTGGTGGAATAGTCCACTTGTTGCTGGAAGATCCAACTTGTACCAATCGAGTTAAAAACTACTTTTGATAGCAGATCTGCTAAACTTCTTGAACAATTGAAAAAAACACTAAAAATTGTGCATATGATTCTGTGTTTCTGACTCCAAACATCGACTTCACCACACTTATCAAGTTGCTCTGAGGACCTGATCCGACTCCAGAAAATGGTAGTAATCCAGAATCTACATGAAGTTCACCGTACAAAATACTTGTAAGTATGATATTTCTGATCTAGTCTAACAGTGTTTCACTTAAGGTTCAATAATGTATAAAAAGAGAAAAGTGACGAATACTAACTGTACTAAAGAAATAGTAGAATTGATAACACTTATAGCAGAACTACTGAAAGATATCTTAGAAGAATTATTAATGTAGTTACACAGATTATGACCAAGATAATTTCTTGTGTTAACTTAGTTGATAACTTAAATAATGATGTGACTATGTTATTAAACATAATAGAAGGTCTTATTAATGAATATCTAAACGTTCAAAGTGAAGAATTCAATGATTTAGAGTTAGTGTTACATAAATAAAAAGTTATTTGATTTGTATTCAGTTGTCTCTGTGTGAGTTCTTTATTCCACACGTAAACTTCCTCCAGTTGGTGGCTTGTGTGCTTTGCTCACAACAGCATGATGCAAAATACAAATAAATTTATTTACAAAGAGTGTAAAGTCAAATCCAATGACTAAGCCCACAGGCTGCCCACATGTCTGTTACACAAACTATTGGAAGCTATTTAAATAATACTTATTTGATTGACTGGAATAAATGGTAAGTTGTACATGATACTTTAAGATTACACCTGCTTAACTAGTTTGTAATTTACACTGGACATCTCCATTAAAAGGAATGACTGTGTGCAAGAAAACATTAATTATGGTTGAAGACAAAGACTCAGAATATCTTGGCTCATGAACTAGTTTTATGGGCTTCTTGTAATTGGTTGTTCAGGTTCATACGAACAATGAAAATGATAACTTAAAAGTCTTCAATGTTCATCAGTTGATTTAGCAGAAGTAGAGTATTTATCTTGATTCTTTCTCTGTATGTACATGGTTGCTCTGACCAAAAATCGGTAGTATTATTTTCTTCTCCAACAAATAACCAAATGATCCCACAGAACTTTTTTTTTTCAGAACATAAGTTTCATGATTTTCATTACAACACTTTAGTTTCAAAAACTCATAAACCAGATGAAAACAATCATTGAAAAGTTCAAATTGGTCACATTGTTCAAAGCTGTAAAATTTGTTTATACATTAACACCAACATTCATTCCTTTAGGCCTGTTAAAGTAACATTTACCTGTGTGACTGGAATGTAAAGAGGTTCGTCCAAAAGAAGAAGTGTCAAACTACCACACTGCCTCAACCTACCTTCAGGTTGCAATTGCATTTTCTTGTTTACTGTAATATAACAAGCAACAAAAAAAATCCAGTTTTTTTGTCTTAAGATGGAAATTAAAAACATAAACTCCAATTAAGGATTCATGTAACAATGCTTTAAATGTATTAAAAAGGATTAAAAGAAAAAAGGTGAAACAATTTGTGTGACAATTGAATTGAAAAATTCGATGACGAGGAACCCACTTTGAGACTAATAATGGTTGGAGACGGCTTGAATTGAATGGATAATGAAGAAAAACTTTATATAAGTTTAACATAATAGCAAATGTCCAACGTTTCACCAAGGTTATGTCACCATCAGGTACCAATCCTTGCCGAAACGTTG